AACACATTGCGGAATGGATGGGCAGGTCATTGGATGGGGCTGTACATGACCTGGCTGTCATGGCACACAATGGTACCAATGACAAAGTTAGAGGCAGATGGAATGTCCTAAAAAAAGGATTTGAAAGACTTAAGTGCTAAGTTAAAGAAAAGGATCTCCACGGTAGTAGTTTCTAAAATACTGCCAGTGCCAAGAGCAACTCCAGAGAGGCAGAGGGAGTTGAGAGAATTGAACAAGTGGCTGGGGAACTGGTGTTGGAAACAGGTATTTGGGTTCATGGAGAACTGGGCTGACTTCTCAGTCGGCTACCAGCTCTATAGTAGAGATGTGCTGCATCTAAATGGGGAAGGTGCAGCACTTTTGGCAGAGAAAATAGGTAGAAGACTGGAGGACAGTGGCGGAACTACCGCTACGGACCGCCAGGCTAAGGTAAGGTGACATTTTTAACATATAAAAAACATTTTTTTATAAAACATCCCCATGGTCCGATCCGCCGACAAGCGCAGTGTTCCTCCTCTCACGCTGCCAGAATATGCATACAGAGCGTGTCGGTTACTATTTAAACCGGCGCGCTGTGTGCAGCTTCTGCGAAGATACGCCATTAGCGCAGCCGGCTTCATTGCTATGCTAATAGCGTATGTTCTCAGAAGCTGCACACTGCGCGACGGTTTTAATAGTAACCAGAACACGCTCTGTATGCATATTCTGACAGCGTGAGAGACGGGAGTCTGCGCTTGTTGGTCGTTCCAGGGATCAGGTGAGTATTAAAGGGTTATTAAACACTCCGGATATTTTTGCATATATATAAGGCTACAAGCAGGAGATATATGCAAAAAGTTTTTTTTTAAAAACAAAACGTTTTAACAGCGGTTTGAACTCACCCCGTCTTCGCCGCGCGCTCCTGTCTGAAAACCCGAAACTGCTCGGGCGGCCACAAAGCATCTTGGGGCGGGCGCATGCGCAGTTCGGATTTTCGGGCGGGAGACGAGGAGAGACGCAAGGTAAGTATACGGACGCATGCACCTGCATGCAGACACTGTGGGACAGGAAGTGCCAGCAATGACAGAGGAGTCAGCGCTGGATCGGACACCCGCCGCACCGCTGGAGGGACAGATGAAAACATCAGGAAAGAAGATCGGATTAAGAGACATCAGTGAAGGTAAGTGCTAACATTAACATTGGGTGGAGAGATAAAAAATGTTTTACTTTAATGTCACTTTAACCACTTCCAGGCCGCAGGACCTCTATAGACGGTGGCCCGCAGAAGTGGTTAAAACAAGAACACGGCTGCTCTTGGTACCGCTTTTAACAGCAGGCGATTGCGGTGTGACTTACAACGAATCGCCTGCTGAGGACTACAAATCTCAGCAGTACTTTATACAGAAATGCTATTGTTATATAAAGTATTGCTGGGATGTGTAGTCCTCTATAGCCTGTGCCATTCTGTATTGCTGTAAATATTAGGGCTGCACCATATATTGGCCGAAAATGGCACTTTTGGCATAATGCTGAAAGTGCCATTTTTCTGCTGATACAGGAGCGCATCCGTGCTTTCTTTTTTCCCCGCTGGACGCTGCTCCGTCTCCCAGCGGGGAGGAGAGAAAGTGACAGCCGGCCAAGCGCTGCGGAAGGAGAGCGCTGTGTTTGTGGGGTTTTTTTTGGGGGGAGGGGGGGCCCAAAAAAAAAATCTTGCACCAGGGCCCTTTGTTCCTTAGCTCCGCCACTGCTGGAGGAGTTTTTAAACTAAAATATAGGGGGGAGGGAATAAACATGGGGATAATAAACAGAGAGCAAGTAACTACAGGGGCAATTAATATAGAGGGAAGTAATACAAGGGGGGACAGAGGGCTCACTCCAGTCAACCAAATGAGTAATGCATCAACTGTACCGAGGTCGGATAAAGAAATTAGTTGTACTTCATTTTCGAGCAATTATAAAACTCAAACCACTAGCACAAAACTAAAATGTATGTACACGAGTGCTAGAAGTCTAACAAACAAATTAAAGGAGCTTGAACTTATGCTCCTCGAAGAGCACTAAGGATGTGTCTTTAGTTATCACTGGCAGCTTCATGACAGATACTTCTGAAACGTTTTCAGCAAACGTTTGTGTATATGACAGTTCTCCTTGATGCTATCCTCTAGGGAAGTAGAATATGCACAAAGGTGCCCCATATTTTCATATTGCATCTATTCAGATGGTTATTAGAATTTATATTTTAATAACCTTACCAGGGATGCCACCTAATATGGTACCTATTGGACTCACAGGACTGCCAAAGTGTTGCTGTAAAAAAAACCCCCGTAGATCAGCCTATTTTACCCATATACTGTTCGATCATTTTTAATATTGATTAGTTGCAGGAGACCTGTTTTTCCTCATAAACTTATAAGTAAATTATTCTTTAACCTAAAGTATTTTTTTTTCATGTTGGATGGAGTGTTGAAGGGTTAGAAACCCTTTGGAATGTTTATTGCCGTCTGTGACCCTGCTGGGTAGCTTCACCCGCTCTGAATTTCCGGGTGACCATTGTGAAGAATATAAAATTTAACAGAACATAGGGTGGGAGAAATCTGTCTAAGAGAGGAATTCTGCTCACTTTTTAGAAACTTCTTCTCACTTCCTGTTACATCTCTAGGAAAGGAATTATTGGAAACAGCAAGAATTAAACTGACAAGTTTTAACCCTTTCCTACTCTGCTCAAAACTATACATACACTTTAATAAGCTAATATTTATCAGCATTTTTGAGCTGAGCTGCAGATGGAAAAACAAATTACATTAACTTGCATTTATGGTGTACCTATGACAACACAGCAGGAGCTGCTCTGATTGGCTCCCTGTCACATACCTGCTTGAGTCTGAGTTGAAGAGGGCAGTCTCCCTTGCAGCTCCAGTCCCAGAGCCCCTGGGTGGCAAAACGGGGGCCCAGGGACAGTGAGTGAGACGAGTGCCGGAAGATGTCACCGTGGCAAGAAGGGTCAGTTTCTGCGTTGCCGATGAGTCCAGGGCAGGAAGCAGGCACAGGTGTAGAATGCTCAGGAGGCAGAGTTCCAGAAGAGCCGTAGGAAGACTAGCCTGGTCATCAATAGGCGGGCAGAGCAGTACCAGGTGACAGACAGGAACATGGTCAGGAACAAGCCGGGGTCAGTAACGTGCAAGCAGCGAGGTACAATCCACCAGGCAGAAGCGGTAGTCAAGGAATGGGGCAAGGTCACAGGAACACAAGTAGGGCATAGGAGGTCAAACAAGCCGGGTCAGAAAAAAATGGACAATTAGGACACAGGATCTTGGAACACAGAAGGCTATCAATCACTCAGCATAGAGGCTAGGATGTCACAGCCTTAAATAGCCCGTTTGGTGCCACAGCCCGTAATGAGTGCGTGCACACGTCCACGTGTATGCTGGGAAACGCGTGCACACCTTTGCAAAGACGCATGGCCTTGCACAATTCTATGAGCATAACTGTGCCCATGCTTAGAATCCAAGCCAAGGACAAGATTGTATGACACCCAAGCTGAAGATGAGAAAGGTGTCTCTCTCCGCTCGAGCTGGGACGGACCATGCTTGCATGTCTAAACATAAAGCGGCTGTAAAAAATGTGACAAAAAAGAAAACAAAATCAGCAAAAAAGGGAAGAAAAGAACCAATTAGTAACTGAGGGTAGAAAAAAAAATACAGTTCTTTGATTTGCACACAAGGGCTACCACATTTACCTCTCCTGCGTCTGTGTTAACTCATCCTTGGTTGCAGATCTTGGAGAGGTTAAAGTTATAACAAAACATAATGCACCAGACAGACCTATACAACTTTCTAGAAAAATGTAACTCACAGTGGTTAACACAAGACACTATGGGGGGAATTTATTAAAACTGGAGCAGACAAAATGTGGAGCAGTTGCCCATGGCAACCAATCAGCTTCTCTCTTCAGTTTGTTCAGTTAAGATTTGAAAATGAAAGAGAGAAGCTGATTGGTTCCCATGCCCAGCTGCTTCAGATTTTGTCTGCTCCAGTTTTGATTAATTCCCCTCTATAACTCTCCCTTTTTTTGCTTTATTATATGTAAAGTATAACTTTACAAATGACTCTGACGGAAAACGTAAAACAGCTTAATGTGCAGTTCCCTAAATAGCCACGAGATGGAGCTCTTTTATGTGGATTCCGGAAATGCTCGTTTCCCTCTAGAGCTCTGTTGTGACTGTTACTGAGCAAGTGTCTTCATTCCGGCAGCCATTTTTATGAAGCCAACTAAACGGAGGCTGAATGATTTGTTGTCTACATAAAAATGGCGGCCACGAGGTAAGAACGGGTATGAATCAGATTTGTTGTACTCATCGGCCTCTTATGACAGAAGCGATGCATTTGGAAGACATTTAAAGACTATCACAATCTGTAAAGAGGATCTTCGGCTGTATGGACCGAGGACACGGAGAATAGTTTGTAAGACTTATTTTTCGATCTATTTATATGAATGGCCATGTTTGCCCGACTTCACTGTATGCAGCTGTGTATACGTCGGTTATATTGGATTGCTATATTTGTACTAATACTATATCTTTTCAGTTGGTAAATATAACTTTTTCTCTAGATGTTATATCAGGCTGACAGATTGTACATGCCGACACTAACTTAAGGGATATCAAAAGCCAGAACTCGTTTTGGCTTGGAATTAATAGGCAATGGTTAAGCCCCCTGTCTGTGCTGCAAGACCCATGAGTGCCTCTATACCTACTTTGGATTTGTATGGATATTTTTCTGGATGAGCACCTGTGCATTCACTCTACAAATAGTTTGTATGTGCTGATTGTACAGTATTGTTATATTGATAGAAGTTTTTACTATTATTGGGACTTCCAGATTCTACCCTGTTCAACAAGCAGCCACGCTTTTGATCATCTTTTTATTATTTCCAATCTGCACATCGTTTTATACTAGTATTTTGTGTTGCATTTCTGATTGGTTACTTCTGTTTTTAACATAGGATCTATCTCGAGTGTCCAGAAATGTCCCATAGAAGGAGAGAAGAAAAGTCCCGTGACAGTCACAGGAGTCACAGGAGAGAGGCAAGCGATGATCTGAGTCCACAGAGCTGCAGTAGCAGCCATCATCGGGGAGAAGACCACAGTGACCGGAAAAGGAGAAGGCGGAGCAGCAGCAGTAGTAATCCTAACACACAGGACATTCAGAAGATCAAACATGTTGAGATTTTGTAAGTATTTAGAGTTATTGTTAATAATATAGTTATTTATTATTATTAGTCATATTCAGGATTTATTATTATTAGGGATGCACCAATACTAGTATCGGTGCCGATACCGAGTATCTGGCTGAGTAATTGTACTCGCCCAAATGCTCCCATGCCTGGCCCGATACCTGAACTTCCAGTATCGGGAAGCCGGGCAGCGAGTTATCACATGCTGGCCGGCTTCCTGATTGGCCGGGAAGCCGACTCCATGCTTCCTTGTCACTAAGTGAAGCCGCCAGCATATAATGACTTGCCGCCTAGCTTTCTAATTGGTCGGGAAGCTGGCCAATCAGGAAGCCAGAAGGCAAGTCATAACCCGGCTTCCTGATTGGCCAGAAAGCCAATACAACAAAGGGGGACAATACAATACCATACAAAAGGATTAGAAGGAGTTTGAGAAACAACATTAAACTTCATATATAGAAGAATAGAGAATGGGTTATGCCTCGGTAACTTATTATTAATTAAAAAAATAA